TAGACATTTCATTGCCCAAAGTATATAACCTCATCATCAAACCCCACAAAACAACTAAGCTCAGAGAGCACCAGGAACCTCTCATAAATCCATAGCTCTTGGGTGGTAGAGAACATTTTCCATCTTTATTTGGGGCCATTTCCCCTGTCCATGACCATCATCCTGTCCCCTTCAGTCTCCTTTTCTCAAGCTAAAGATGTCCATCTATTTCTGTCTCTCTTTCTAGGTCTAGTTTCTAGATTTCTGGTCTTCTGCACTGTTCTTTTGTTCCCCTGCTTCAGCTTTCTCTTTACTTGTGGTCCCCAAATGAATTTTCCCAAATGACCAACCTACATTGGAATGGTCCCCTATGACTTTCCAAAGTCCATGGTATTCTGACACAGCTTAAAATTACATCTTTTTAAAAAGTAGCCACTTCACCTCTCTGACTCAGCTTGGGCTTGTGAGCAATTAAAATTCCAGGTTCCATTTCTCATGTACAGTTACCAATCCAGATATTCCCTTCCCTACAAATTCAGTTTTCTTTTTTTCTAAAGAATCAACATCCTTTGTCCCGATTAAATTTCAAGTCTCTTAATTTGTAGCTTCTCGTTCTGATCGTTGTTCCTCACTTCTACAGTTTGGTGCCTTCCATATGTTCAACCAAGAACATGATGCTTTGTTCAGATTTGACAAGGCCTACCCATTAATCCAAGTTCTAGATTGGAAACCCTGGTTTAGGGCTTTGTGTGTAACACAGACCCAACTAACCATGAGTTTTGATTTGCACAGATCCTTGGCCCATCGCTAGCCTTTCCAAAGGCTGGGAGAAATCTTGTGTCCAGCTCAAGCCCAGCTATGCGTTACACCAAAGGTATGGTGGATGATCCTCAAGGGTTTCTTCAGCTGACCGAACATTAAGAAGAATATAATTATACCACAACGTTTTATGGAATTATCACTCACTCAACTCTGTAAATCTTCTCACTACACTCAGCTCTGAGCTACGCTCCACCCTTCAAGTACCTTAATTAAACCAAACACCCATGGGTGTCTCAAGGATGTAGTGTGAGAATTTAATGGGTTTGGGCTACATGTGGATTCTCAATCCTTGACATTCCTTCCTTCCCAAAACCCATCATCTGGACCTTTCTACTGGAGATGGGCTACACTGAGACGTAGAAGAGGAATTGCTTGAGGCTAACCTACCATCTGATGTCACTGAGAGGTTGTTTTTTTTCCTGCAGTGGACTCAGTTTCACAACTTAGCAAGGAACATAAGGAAACAAATCAGCCCACCATATACTGTATATAGTCCAATGTTAGTTTGAATTTGAGCGGGGGGGATTATCTTAGGAAAAAAATGGGGTGTTGGTAGCCCTGAGAATAGTGAATCAAAGGAACCGTGAAAAATAGAACGAAGAAATGCTTTTAGCTACAAAGAGTCTCCAGGAGCAGAACTTGGCCCCTGAATCATGAGATTTTGGGGGGGAAAGTGCAAAGAAAATCAACTAAGAAGATTAAAAACTTGGAGACTAGAACCTATGAAAAACAGTTGCAGGAATTGGGTATGGCTAGCCTAGAGGAAAGAGGAAACAAGGACTAGGGGGTGACATGATAGCAGGATTCCAGTATTTGGGGGGGCTGCCACAAAGAAGAGGTGGTATAGAATCTCCTGCTTGAGTAGGGGTTGGACTAGAAGACCTCCAAGGTCCCTCCCAGCTCGATTCTGACTCTGATTCTAATTTATTTTCTAAAGCACCAGAAGGCAAGGCAAGAAACAATGGAGGGAAAACTAATCAAGGAGAGAAGCAAGCTGGAATTAAGGAGAAGCTTCCTAAAAGCGAGACGAATTAAGCAGTGGAATAGCTTGCCACAGAAGTTGTGGGTGCTCCATCCCTGGAAGTTTTTAAGGAAAGGCTGGACAGCTACGAGTTTTAAATGAACAGGGGGTTGGACTAGAAGACCTCCAAGGTCCCATCCAGCTCCATTCTGATTAAGGTTATGGTGTCACCTGCTTTGATTTCCACCAGAGACTTAACCTCTAGAATATGACCATCCTCCTTGCCTTCTTCATTATTATTATTATTATTATTATTTTTAAAAAAAGAGGAGAAAGGGGTTTTGCATGTATTAAGAAGTGACCTCGTTAAGGCAACGTCGACTCATGTAGGCTTGTACACACAGCGCCAAGATTTCAAGTTGGGTTTATATTATTATTATTATTACATCACCTCAACGGGCTCTCAGATGTGGTTATGGAAATGTTGGGTTGGACCAGGGAGGTGCTGGGAAACCTTTTGACTCAGGGGATCCTCTGAAAGGAGAAAACAAGAAAGCTACCCGAGGTGTTGAAGTACGTTTCAGCATGCCATGGTTTTCACAAAAGCAGCAGCCCATAACGTAGTAACAAGCCAAGATGTCGAGTTGATCTTAATTAGAAGCCCCATGGGATGGGATGGGATGTCCTTTAGCCTGTCTATACATAAAGAGCTAGTTGGACAGGGCAAACTCCAGGTCATATGTCCAAGTCAGGAGGATGACTTGTAGACACCATTCTGACAATTAGACTAAATGCTCTATGTGGAAGGCGGTTTGGTTGGGATCTAATTAAGATCTTTGCGTTGAGAAGGCCGCCTCATCCCCTCCAGGGCTGCCTAGGACTTGTTATAAAAAGCTCAGAGCCTCTTTCAACCAGATTCTTGGCATCCAGGTGTGGAGGGAACCAGGTAAGTCTTTGTGGGCATACTGAGAGGAGCGGGTTCAAGATTCACATGTTTTATCCACCTTCTCAACGACTTGGCTGGGAGAAGACATCTTGATTTTTAACTGGGATTTCTTTAGAGATTTCTTTTTTAACCTTAAGGGTGCTTCTTTTTATTGGCCACTACAGTTGTTAAATTTTATTTATTTGTCAGTTTATTTGTTTTTTGTTTTTATTTCTATTTTCATATTCCCCTCTCCCCATATTGTACCAGAGTCTGTTTTTATGTACTTACCTTTTCGACTTCTTTAGAGGTTGTTTTAGTGTAAGGAAGGGTGCTTGCTTTTATTTGCTGCTACGGTTTACTCTTCTTAAATTTTATTTATTTGTGAGTTTACTTGTCTTTATTTCATTTTTATTTTAATATCCCCCTCTCCCACGTTGTGTGTGGAATATATACATCTAAAGAAGTTCTATGCAAAAGTTCAAACGTGGTAGGGATAGTCAGGAATCAAAAGGGTTGCAGATATATATTTTTCCCTCATTCGCTTTTTAGAAAAATCAACTGTTTAGCTCAGGCTATTTAGAACACCTCCCAACTAATGTGAGAAGAAAAGAGTTTGAAATTCTTGTGATTTACCAGTCCATACTCCAAATTAAGCAAATTAAGTAATCTTTTTTTAAAAAATGCTCTGTTTGTAACATAAACATACTAAACAACATGGGTTTTTTTTTTCCTCTTAAAGACACCATTGACTAATTCTGACATTATTATTTTACCGAGAGGGAGAGCTTGCTGGTTGAGGTGCAGTGAAAGAGGTGCAGTGAAATTAAATTAAAAAGGGGGTGTGGAGGCTGTTGCCAAATTTCTTTGGTTGCTTAAATGTCAGCATTTAAGGAACTGGTTCAAGGACTCTGGTAACTTTCATCTTCGAAAATAAAGAGCTTATGGGTTGCAGATAAAAGGGACCGATAAAAGAAAGACAAAACGCAGGCCAGATATATTTTTTTCTGTTGCCAACTCTGGGTTTGAAACAAAGAGAATTCAGGAAGATTGGCATCTGGGGACGTTAAAGGGAACACAATTATTGCTTTCTTTTTCCTTTTTCCTTTTTTAGAACTGAACAACCCCACTATATTGCTGGGCGCTAAGAACTTCAGAGGTCAGTTTAGGGGACTTCATTTGAATTAGATCTATATTTCATAGAACATAAAATAATGAAATTGGAAGCGTCCTTAGAGGTCTTCTAGTCGAATCCCTTGCTCAAGCAGAACCACTGTTCGATGCACTTCCAAATCTATCAGATATCTAGATCCATATCCATAGGGGCAAGAGTGAGATTTTGACTTGGATTCTTTCTCATGACTTCTTAGATAGAAAACTCCTTCAGACAAATTGACATTCAATCAGACTCTTTTTTTTTGTCTTTCTGACCTTTATCAGCCATATGAAGGGTTAAAAACTTAGAAGCTTAGAAGATATTTGCAAAAATACAAATGTTGAACTTGAGAAAAGAGAAAAAAGAAAGGGGAGGTAGGGTTGGAACCCCTAAGAAGAAAAGCAAATGAAGTTATCCAGAAATGGGATGGATGGATGAAATCGTTTTAACACAAGGACTTTAAATCTGTTGTTTAAAGAACTGGGTCCAAGAATAGCTTTTTTATATAAGATAAATGCCATTATCTCTAGAATACAACGGAACATGCCTCTTCTTAAGACCATTTGGGAAGAGGCATTCTCTCATCTAAGATGGGAACATTGCCAGATCCAACACATTTCTCTCCTCCCCAAAAGACCCCCTTTAATTTCCTCCATAGCACTAGACATTTATATCTGCAAGTATCTCCAACATTCTTCTTGGTTCAACAATTCAGAATATATTACCCAATTTGGGAGGGAGGAAACGGTACTTCTATTCCAGTTATGAGCAACATTGGAAAAATATTTACTTGGTTGTAGCTCGCTCCACAAAAAGAAACTTGAATTTGGAAAGACCTCTTGCTCATCCCTTTACTGAGATGATTGATTGCCTCGTTCCGGGATCACCCACCCTGCCATTCATTGAATTTTCTTTCCTAACCAGTTTAGTTTTCTGCTGATCTCTTATCTCTGAGGAAATCTGGAGTTGTTCAGCTCCTTCAAACTGGATCAGCGAAGTGGTGAGACTGGGGGAGGGAAGGGAAAAAAAACAGGGAGTGTCCACATTCTCTTGCCAGCTATAAAGCTTGGGAAATAGCTATGCACGCACCACCTGCCTAAGGTGAGTTTTCTTAAAGTGAGAAGTAAGAGCCTTTTAACTGCTTTGCTACAATTGTGGCCCCCGTCAAGCTGGATTTTCAGACAGGTAAAGGGAGCAGAACGAGAGTGGATTGAAGGTGTGGGCAGGAAAACAGGTGACAGAAACAAGGAGCTGGACATGGGACATCTGTCAGAAGACTGAAGGTTTTGAGATATATAGGAAAAGAGAGGGAAAGGAGAGGAAGGAAGGAAGGAAGGAAGGAAGGAAGGAAGGAAGGAAGGAAGGAAGGAAGGAAGGAAGGAAGGAAGGAAGGAAGGAAGGAAGGAAGGAAGGAAGGAAGGAAGGAAGGAAAGTTGGGATAAGAATCTCTTTCCTAAGTAAGTACAAGATCTACTAGATAAACTAGGGAGTAACAGTGATTGACCTTTTACAAAGTGAGTGTTTTTAGAGAGAAGGTGGGGTTGACCTGTCCATCTCTCATCATGTGTGGCTGATGAACGCCCAGATAATTTTTTTTGTCTCCCTTCTGTCTCCTCTTCAGACACATCCTCCCAGCAGAATGTCTGGCTCAGGCGTGAAGTGTGTCACCACCCCTTGTGTCACCTCCTGCCCAGATGCCAAAGTGGTGGTCCATCCACCCCCACTGGTCCTGACCTTACCTGGACTGAGCCTCAAGACCTCTCCGAATCAGTGCCTTGTGGAAAGCCAGACTTCATGCCTCACTAATGGCTGTGAGGTGAGCTGTGATCCGGGCTCCAAGGCCATTGTCACCAAAACTTCAGGCTTGGTTGCTCTTTCTGGTGGAGATACTCCTTGTTGTACAACCACCTGCCCTGATTCTCAAGTGGTGATTCAGCCTCCCCCGGTCTGCATCACCATCCCGGGTGCAGTCCTCACCAGCTACCCCAATGAGTGCCTCATCTCAAGCTCAACCAACTGTATCACCAGTGGCGTCCAACGCCCTGCATTGCCCCGTTCCACATCGGTCTCCGATTGCTCCCCCACTCCACCAGGTCTAACTCGCTCAGCCTCCGTCCCATCAGGACTCAACAGCTCAGCCCGATGCCTAACACAAGGACCTTCAAACAAAGTGGTGATATACCCTCCACCAATTGAGATCACCATTCCTGGCCCTGTCCTTGAGATAGCTGCAGAAGAGTGTACTGTGGAAGTCTACAACCCTTGCACTGATAACAACGCCCTGACTGGCAGTGACCAGGCGGCCATCACCAGCGGTGACGAGGGTGAAGTCAAAGCTCTAATTCCACGGGCCAGAAGTTGCACCACGGTATCTGGGCTGATGGACACTTCAACCTGCATTTCCCAGGGACCAGAGATGAAAATTGTTATCCAGCCCCCTCCTATTGAAATCGAGCTTCCGGGACCTATCCTGGAAGTTTTTCCAGAAGCGTGTAAGGTAGAAACTCTGAGTCCATGTCCTCCAAAACCCGAGGCCATCACTGGTAATGAGATCAAAGCCCTCTGTGACAGCAAGATGCCCTCAACTGCCCTTGTGGCTGCCACCACCAGCATAAAACGCCCACTGCCCGATGTCCGACGTCCTCCTCGACCCTGGGCTGAAATGTACAGCCGGTCAATGACACCCCGTAGCTTTGCATTAGCGCAACAATCCCGACTGGCAAAATACCGCAACGCCTTATACTCCATGCATTCCCAATCATCTTACTAAACTTTCAGTGGACGTGAAATTGTAAAGACAGCTGGTATTTTTATAAATATTTGTATATATAAAAAGGGAGAGTGCTGTGTCATGCACCCACCATCCACCGCATTATGGATCAGATGGGACATTTATCTAAGTTGCTAACTGATTTAGAAGTTTTAAGATGTTTCTTCTCCTGTCCATTTAGGTTTAAAGCCCAGTTGATCAAGAATTTTGACTCCATAGATTCCATAGTAACATTGATTGTCCTTTGAGTATCTTGTGGTTCCATGGGAATGTGGTGTACCAGAAAAGCAATGGACAAATAAGACCTAAAATGAGCTTTGACTCACCGCCATTTTGTTTGTAATGCCATAACTTCTCTCAGAGCGTTCCTAGTGTGATGACAGAGGTGAATTAGAAAACGCCCAGATTTATGGTCAACGAGAAATGTGACTATTGTAGTTTAACAGCTTTTGATGGCCACTGATCCCTCATCTCAATGGATTGCTCCAGGAGATGGTTGCTACCAGTTGCCGAGATGTTTTCTAGCAAACTTAGTTGCCATGAATTTGTTCAAATGTAAGCCATGTGCACATCTTGCCTCAAAGATGGCACTTTGTAACGCTTCAAAATAACTTCTTTATCAGTCCAAGTCTTGAGTCAATTTAAGATGTCTGTTTTTTGAATCTCTGCAGAAGTTGTGGATGGACTATTCTCCTATGGACAGGAATGCTTGGTTCTTGCATGGCAACTCCACCTTGGGGGGTACTCTCCTGTGATCCCACCATGCTGTCTTCTTCCCTGTTGGTGGGCGTGAGGTCTATCAGAGTTTCACAATTATTTTCAGGGAATAAAAGTTGCGGTAAAAGTGGACAGCATAGAATGTTTGATGGAGAAGTTTTCATTAACAGATCTAGGACAGCTTCTCACCCTCTGTGTTTTGTTCATGATGTCCTCAAAAACTTCTCCAGAGGATTTCATCAGGTTATGAGGACCACTGAGACTCTACATGGTAATATATATAAAATATGATGTGGGTCAATATTGAGGACTTCTTACTGATGAGAAAATGTTGCAAGCATAAAGTAGTGGAAGACCTCAGAATTCATTGTTTCTAGAAAACCACTATTTCCTCACAATCTTCAGAAAAGTGGTGGTGATCAATTCACCATGATATGTGTGGCTAATTGATACTTGATAAAATTTGATACTTAGAGGATCTGAAAATTGGTCCTTCAAATCCATTGCTACTACCCCATTGTCCCAACAGAGCTTCTGAGTAAACTCGTGGTACCAACGATCCTCCCATTCCGCTCCATGTAAGACTTACTCCAAGGTAAACAAACCTAGATAAGATTACATCAAACAGGGTTGGAATTTCTTTCAGAAGGATGTGATAAGTTGTAGGAAATGAACTCATCTCCTAAATGGTCCTCGGTTTGTAAAAAAAAAAAATTAGAGATTGTAACTAATATTCGTAGTCTTTGAAATAAAGCTAGCATGTTTATTTTATGCAAAATGTTTTTAAAACAATTCTCATTCTCCAAATGCCAAACCTTCCAATAATAAACTGAGTGAAAACTTCTAAAATGTTCCAGACTTCTTTTATCCTATTAATTAACTGCTGGGGGAGTGGGAGAAAACTAATATTCTAATAATAATATATGAAATATCCATTTTCATTGCAACCAGATATTTTTGGAGCAAATTCAACCACACGTTTCCAACTTGACTCAGAAAAACTAGACCTCTCCTTGTGTTTGCACTACTCACATCCAGTTTTTGCTCACTCTGCATTTTCTCAGCTAGAGGTGCACCACCAATACCTCATCATAGGCATCTCTATAAAGTTGGTATGAAGGTTTGGTCAGGCACAACTTGAAGGCTGACACAACTCTCTCCAGAATCACTTCAAGGCACAAGAGGGAATCAAGGTGTTGAAGATTTTAATTGGGGAGAGGAAGGTATCCTTAATCCTTTCATTAACACCAATGTTCAGAACATTATCTGAATTGTCCTGCTTCAAAAAATGCAGTGGAGTCTGTAACATCTCAACCCTGTTATCATTGTTACATTTTCATACACAGGAGACTCCATGGAACTACCATTTAAGTCCATTAACATGGTAAGTAATAAGTTATAAAGAGCATTTAATGGTAGCCTTCATAGGATGGAATTTCCTCTCTTCAAAAAATATGTGGACCATGGCTCCTAATGATCTGTTCTAACAACTTGCTTCCATCATGCCTCCTTACCAACCATGCTTCATTAAAGCTGCATATATTTACTTCCATTTTAATCCAAAATGTCCTGCTCAAGCAGATGGCATTTCCATATGCCTAGTGTCCATGATTCAAATAGTCAGCTACATTCCACACTGACTAGCTGGTTGGAAGTTATCAATTATCAACAGAGCTGTTGCCCATCTAGAAATCCTACAGTCCTCCAAGACTTCATTCCTCACCATTCCTGGTAGATCTTCATCTGACCTAAAAACATTCAAGTAGCAGATTTGGAAGCTGCGTCAAAAGAAAGTTCAAGAAGAAAACAACCCAGCTTCTACTATCAGTTGTTTCACAATTGCCACAACATCAAATCTTTCACCTAAAATTCTTGAAATGACTTGGCAGAGAAGAACAGAGTCCCATGTTCTTTGAGTTGGTTCATAGACACTGGGAAAGTTTTCGAGGCTCTGGACCTTCCCCAGAAAATGTGAAAGTCATACTAAAGGTGTAGCAAACTGTTTAAAACACGAGAAGACCGATTTTTTTGAAAATGCAAAAGGGAAGGTCATTGTTTATCTCAGATACTTTCTCCATCTTCTTCTTATCATGAGAAATATATAGGTTATTATATCTTTTTTTAAAAGAACTGTTCTTGCCCATTGTCAGTGGTAATTCCTTATTGTATAAGTCTAATCAATTTATTTTATCAGTTTAATTAAGCACATTGTTCTCTCTCATTGCGGATGAGGACATTCATCTTCTCCTAGATAAGTCAACTTCTCGTGCGTTTGTTCCATCAGCAAGTGCCATCCGGTTTCCGCAGGGATCTGCAGAATTTAAAACAAGAACCACTTCAAACACATGGTTGCGTTTTTCAAGAGAAATGCCTGAGGGACAGTTTGAAATTCACAGTTTGAAAACTGTGAAAGAGGGAGAAGCAAATTCCTGTCCAACAAGTTCAGCGCATAACCATCCGCGTCTTATCCGAATTCACGCAGATCCAGTTCTTCTAACATCCAAAGAATTGCAAGCACCATTCTTAGTTCAACTCCACCAACAGGTCGAAAGGAATCTCAAAAAAACCGGAAGCAAATTCAGCATTCAGATATAACCTCTTTGACTCCTTTTTTTCCTTATCTGGAGAACATTATAAAAATGAGAAGAGGAACGATGATCAGCATCGGCTAATTCAATCCATCCACAACAATTGTTTTGGACACGTTGGGATGCTTTGAGTTGATGTTCTATAGCAAAAGTCTCCAGAGTTAGTAACTTTTAAGACTTGTGGACTTCAACTCTCTTAATTCCTCAGTCAGCCATTGAAGTCCACAAGTCTTAAAGTTGCCAAGTGTGCTATAGGAACTGTCCAAATACACATTGCAAAATTTATCCATGGATGTCTAGGCTCATTTTGTGTTACTCTTCTCCGCCCTCTCAGATTCAGAGGCCACAAGGTGGCTAGAGCTAAAGAAAGAGACAGGTGGGGCACTATTTCCTTGGAAAGGAAGGAATCTGAAAAAAAATGGGGCACTTAATTGAAAAATAAATTGTTGCCAAATTTAGTATAATCTTCAGGGTGTGTGAGATTTCAGAACTACAAACAAGGGATAGACAGCACACCATATTTCCTTACTGATACCAACAGAGCAAAATTGTGACTCACATAAATTGCCTAAAATACAAGGAAGCAGAAATTTCCATAAAACTTTACTCTTTTGGCTTGCTCAGTCATTTAAATTGATGAGCAAGGATGGGTTTGTTTGACTTTCCACAATTCCCATATTATTCAAGTTCTTTTAATAGCATAGTACAGAAATGAGAGATGGCGAAGATCTGGAGCTTAAGGGAGGAAATTGGCTTTGACTGCCCCCAAGTGGTGAAATTGAGGAGTGGATGAACCAAATTGAGAAACTGTGTAGCGAACCAATTTCTCCACTTGGGGGCAGTCAAATGACTGGAAATACAGACAAAATTTGCATCTGATGCCAGATTTAGGAGATTGTGAAAAACTTTGAAGGAATTCCTCCATCCACCCATGTGTTTGTTTTTTGGAAAACCATATAAAAACAGTGACTATAAATAAAATCATCTGAACAACTAAAATAACAAAGTCACATTTTAAAACTACATTGATTATTTTTGGGGGGGGGGAATTGTTAAATATTTTAGAGAAAATTCTGCAAGGGGAAAAAAGAGATTAAATAGCATTATTTAAAGCAATGTTCACTCTTCTCTGGGCCCAATATAGCTGCATCCATAGAAAAAGAGAACTGAAATTTCTGCCCCCCAGTGGCCACTGCTCCCAGAAGGAAACAATTTAAAACTATTCCAAAGAATTAAGAGTCTATCCCCCTAGTGGCCACATACTGCCATACTACCTGGAGAAAGAAAACATGCAGAATATTAAGAGAATATTCTTCCCTCTGGCAGCCAAACTTTGAAACTGCACCCAGCGGGAGGGGGGAAAAAATACTATTGTATTCCAAAGATTGAAGTGTATTGCTCTCTGGTGGGTCTACTTCGCTATTGCACTTGGAGAAATTAAACAATCGCAAGGAATGAAGAATCTGCCGTCTGGTGGACACAATTTGCAACTACATCCAGGGGGAGAAAACAGTGCTGTCATTAGTTATGACAAAGGAGATAAAAGTCTTCCCTCTAATGGCCAAACTTATCATTGCACCCTGAGTGAAGACTTTTTCAAATTCTTGCAATTACTGCCCTCTTTTGTTTGATATTCAGAAAACACCAAAAAATAATAATAATAATAATCCAAGTGATCTATAACTATCAATGTAGAAAATGAATTCTACATGTTTTGGACTCGCACAACCCTCTGAATTACAACTTAACCAATCCCATTGAGCCTAGCCCCCTGTTCTGGAAATCTAGCTCTTGAGAAGCATAAGAACAAGTTGTTGAAGATCTTCAGAATGGAGAAAAAGAAGTGATTGTGACATCCCCAAGGAGGGTGATGGATGATGAATAGACAATTGTAAAGTTTTGTCAGATTCACGAGGACATCACAAAAAAGGAATTCTAGACTACACACTCAATAGCAAGCCCTTTTGTCTGCTCTCTCCAGCTTTTTTCCTTGCGGTATTCCCCAACTCTCAACCTCACCCAGCCACATTCATTTTTTTAACAATTATGTGAATTGTGCTTGAATAATTGCTGATGTCTTGTCAGTCTTACCAAGTGGACCAGACAGGAAACATACCCAGATGGGCTAATTCTACTTTATTGTAAAAGTGCATGAACTGAATCTTGCAAGTCTTGAATGTACAAATTGCCTGCCATCTCTGTTACAGTCTGAGAAACCAGAGAGGGTCTCGTCTGAGCTTCTTTCTCTGCCCATGATATAGTTGTGGTCTATACTAACTGTTATCTGATTTGAAAGTCTCTAGACCACAGACGCGGTGGCTCAGTGGCTAAGACGCTGAAGTTGTCGATCAGAAAGATTGGCAGTGTGAATCCCTAGCGCTGCATAACGGAGGGAGCTCCCATTACTTGTCCCAGCTTCTGCCAACCTAGCAGTTCAAAAGCATGTAAAAAATGCAAGTAGAAAAATAGGGACCCCTTTGGTGGGAAGGTAACAGCATTCTGGGTTCCTTTGGTGTTTAGTCATGCCGCCCACATGACCATGGAGACGTCTTTGGACAGCGCTGGCTCTTCGGCTTTGTAACAGAGATAAGCACTGCCCCCTAGAGCGGGAAATGACTAGCACGTATGCGCTAGGGGAATCTTTACCTTTAAGCAGTGTCTCTGGACCCAGTCTTCAAAGTCATCCCCATGTACATGTTTTTGCAAAACAAACGCTGCCAGAAGATGGATTACTCAGGTGTAGATTAGGAGATTTCAGAGTTCTCAACCTGAAGCAGAATCTGACTAATCATGCTTTGACCATGAAACTAAGCAACATCAGGTCTGGTTAACGTAGACTGCAGGCCTTGTAGACTAGACTAAACCTCTCTGGAAGAATGCCACCTACGATTTGTGTAGGTTGGGAAGGAGGTGCTTTTGAAAAGCCAGTTCTCAGAATCAGGACGGCACAGAATGGAGTAAATCTCTGTAGTTAGTAATTACTGTCGAGGCAGTTGAGAATGAACATTCCAACATTCCTGGTTGAATGAACTCCTTTTTTCCACGCAAGTGGGTGTTGGGCCACACCTCTTGGGTGAGCCTCCTCTTGCCAGTCCAATATTATAATCCACCACCTCCTCTTTGCTTTTTTTGTTTCCTTTCAAATTTGTTTACCAACGTTCCAGAATTTGTCTACCTACAAAGAAAGTCACCTGAACAAAAGATGTGAGAAAAAAAATCTCAAGAGCAGAAGGATTCCACCCAAACCCTCTTTCCTTCCCTCCAACTCTTCAGTTTACAACTCATCACTTCTGATTTTTTGGGGGGTTGAGTTGCTAAGTCGTGTCCAACTCACTGTGATCTCATGGACCATAGCACACCAAGCCCCCTGTCCTCCATTGTCTCCCAGAGTTGTCTCCCATGTCCATTGTGTCAATGACACTATCTAACCATTTCATCCTCTGTTGTCCTCTTCTCCTTTTGCCTTCAATATGTCCAATTAATAGATGTCATAGCAAGGATGCCGGAACTGGGCATGAGTATCTAGTGAAGAGAAGGACCAGGAGAGACATGATGGCAGTATTCCAATACTTGAAGGGCTGCCACAAGGAGGAAGGGGTCAAGTTATTTTCTAAAGCCCCCAAAGGCCAGACAAGGAATAATGGATGGAAACTGATCAAGGAGAGATTCAACCTGAAAATAAGGAGAAACTTTCTGACAGTGAGAACAATCAACCCATGGAACAGAAGTTGCCTTTGGAAGTTGTGGGAGCTTTATCCCTTGAGACTTTCAAGAAGAGACTGGACTGCCATCTGTCAGAAATGGTGTAGGGTCTCCTGCTTAGGCAGTTGAATGGACTAGATGATCTACAAGGTCCCTTCCAACTCTGTTAATCTGTTAACATAATCTTATTAGCAAGTATTGGATGCATCTCATGTGAATGCAGTTACCAGGTTGTTTTTCATCAAAGAATAGGCATGTCAGTAGGCTGCAACAAAGATAATCTCATTTGATGAAGCCAATGTGTCTCCATCCAGCGAGGTCTTTCACCATCAATTCCCACCCTGGCAGGGGAGCAAGTAATGGAAATCGAGCATCAATGTGCTGATCACACATCCTTGCATTGGGTCAATAGATGTTGACAAATCACAAAAGTTCAAACGGAACCAAGACAAGATGCTCTGTGATGTTTTCAGAAAGCTTTGGGAGATCCATGGCCCACCTTGTATTGAGATCAACATCATCTGGCACACTTTGTCTTCATAGACATCTCTGTCACATGACAATATAAACAGCTGTGACAATTCTGTCAGAAAGGCTATTATCAAAGTATGCTAACAACGAAGACCATCACATTCCAAAAGCCAGTTATGGATTTGGCACACCCTGTTGAACCAGATTCTTGCTTGTTATCACTGATAGAGTACACAGATATCCAGATTGATTTAAGGAAGATTGGATCAAGTTTTTCAGGATTGGATGGTTTTTGTTTGATATCTTCTCCAGGTGAGGGTGGCGTGCTAACCCAGCCAACTGGGTCAGCTTGGGGTTCAAATCCAGGAACAGAAGAAGCCAGTCATCAACATCTGTTTAATGAGATCCACTTTTAGCAGTGTAACTACGAAGTAAATAAGATTTCACTTAGAAAACTAGCTCTTAAGGTTATCTCTTCTCCTTCCCAATAGTGTTTAGGAGTTAACTTTTAAAAAAATGCTTTCAAGAACTATCCAAAGGTTAAGACAGTACAGATGAACAGAAAGACCTCCCCCTAGACCTTCTGGAGATCTTTGTTAATGTACCTCCTCTCAATTCAGCTACCTCAAAATTGCACAGGACGCGCAAAATATTGAAGTTACCTATTCTGTAGATCAAGAAGAAGAATTTTACAGTAGAATTCAGTGGTACCTTAGTGGATAATTCAGCTTCTGGGTTTTGTGTCTCATCAGTGGTGGATAACTTCTACAAAACCGTCTTTCTTCATTCGTGGTTGCCTGGGAAATCTTGCCAATTTTTTTCTCTGCCAAAAGTGACAAATATTGTTCTTCAGTCCTGCTCTAAGCCAGCATCTTTTTGGAAGTGTAGTTGAAGGCAATGAGAAACCCAAACATCTCACCAGTTGCCCACTACAGAACTCCCAAAGATGAGCAATACCTTTGCCAGACAGATTTACGACACACAAACACGCATCTTCCTATACTTGCTCTAACTTTAGGGAAGAATTTTTGCTTAATTTTAGGGGAGAAGCTCAGTTGGTTTGGGCTTCATTTGGGGGGCAGCTGGAGAAGGAATGTGGGTGTGAGACAATGAAGCAAAAAGAAAAGACTTCAGGTTGTGACATGCCATAGAGATGAGGGTATTGCAAGGCACGGGGAGGAACTTGGAAAACATTTGCAAACTATGAAGTTGGAAAAGAGAGGAAGAGTGACATATTATTAATAGCACCCTGGGCAATTTTCCTCCTGTAATTGGCACCTGTGATTTAAAAAGATTTTAAAAGTTTTTGGTTTTCTCTTCCAAATTTGGGGTGTAGCAAAAGCAGGGTAGGAGAAATGAAGGGCAATTAGCTTCTGATTTTGAAGATGATCTTCTTCTTCTTCTTCTTCTTCTTCTTCTTCTTCTTCTTCTTCTTCTTCTTCTTCTTCTTCTTCTTCTTCTTCTTCTTCTTCTTCTTCTTCTTCTTCTTCTTCTTCTTCTTCTTCTTCTTCTTCTCCTCCTCCTCCTCCTCCTCCTCCTCCTCCTCCTCCTCCTCCTCCTCGTCCTACTCTACCTGAAATTGATAGATTCTTCTGTTTCCTTAGTCCAACTCAACAGTTTAGAAGCCGCTGTAACATTTAGTGGTGGTAAGTTCCCTATCTCAGCAGCCAGAATTTAGAAAGCAACTACCTCTGTCCATTGAGACTTGAGTCCTAATTAAAACGGAATAAATTGCAAGATGGACCAACTGAGCACCATATGGGAATTGCTGTTCAAGAGAGGGAAAACATGGTTAATTCTTTCTATAGTACAATTAGACTTGGGATGATACAATTTGCCTCCGGCCTGATATTCTGATTCAAATGTTTGCTTGTATTCCCTCTGGATATAAAAAGAAGAGAGGGAGGGAGGAGAGGATGTAGAGGATGACAACATTGTATGAGTTCATTAAAGTGTTAGGCAATGACTTTCAAAGGCCCATCATTTCTTTTGGCTAAAAATCTTTTGGATTTGGATCAGAATGTTTCTGGTATGTAAACGTTAAAATGGGAGAAATTGGGGAAATGAGAAAAGGAAGGAAGGGAGCGAGAATGGAGGGAGCAAGAGAGGAAGGGAGGAATAAAGAAGGAAGGAAGGTATAGAGAAGGAAGGGAGGAATAGAGAAGGGAGGGAGGAAGGAAGGAGGAAACCACTATTCTGTCATTTTGTATGTATGATATTTTGTTATTGCTATATACTTTTATCATGCTTTTCTACTTAGACATATTTTTCTTTTTTTTCTTTTTTGCATCTTTATGTTTTAACCAGATTTATGTTTATTGGGCTATAAGCTTCCCAGAGTTGTTTGCAACTAAGGTGGTTATGAGGCCCATAAAGTAAGTATAGAAATAAACAAACCCAGGGGGAGATTATTTTTAAGTTCTGAACGTGTATTTATTTATTTCATCAACTTTATGTCTGCCTATCTCACATACACACAAAAAATGACTCTGGGCAATGTACAAGATAATAAAAAAAAGTTAACATACAAAAGACAATTGTTATTTAAAAAAAATTTAAAAAATGAGGTTAAAGGAGAACAGGTGTTAATTGAGAAGTTACTCAAATACTGTTGAGTAACTGAATCCTTCCCAAAGGATATCTGTCCTGGGAGAATCCAATAGCCCATGATAACATGGTTGGGAAACAGATGGTAATGAGTCACCCAGAGAAGAAGTTAGCAAGTTATGCTGGATCTTGGGGCTTAAGTGATTCAGTTCTTCAGCTCTGGATTTATGCTAAGACTGAAAAAAATGAAAGGACACATTCGCAGAATACCAAGCAAGAAATTCTTTCAGCTGCTTGTGGACAAATTGGCATGTAATCATGACAGAGACTTAAGTCAACCTTGGAGATTCCAATCAGTTTCAAAAATCAATCCAATTCATCTCAAGCTCCCAAATTTGATCTGGAACAGATCTCCAACCCCAACCTGAACTTGTTCAAACCAATCCAGAACTAGAGATAGCTCGGCAACTTCAGAAGATCTCTGAATTGCTCCGAGTTAATTCAAATGCTGTCAGACCTGCCCCAGTCAGCCCCCCTATAAGGAAAGCAAGACTCTTGAATCCATGGAGTTGAATCGAAAGAACTTTTACCCAGAGAAACTGGATGTAGTCAAGTCAGGTGGAATCTGAAAGTCCCAAGCAAATCACAAAACAATTCTTTTGGCTTCCCAGTCCCAACCCTCTGACCAGTCCACCACCAGCCAATGCAATGCTGAGAAGATTTTTCAGGGTGTGATGGCCTTGGAACCTGGCGAAGACTGGCTGGGAAGGAGCCTCTCCCATCTCTAAAGATAGTCTCCCTTCCCAATTCCCAAGCAAACGGTAGAAGTGAGAAAAAAAAAACAAGTATGCCAACGCACTCTCCCCTCAGCATGATGGCAGGGCACTAGAGTACAACGGTGGACCTGACAGATGCATTCACTTGGTCCAATGGATTCAAGGCTCTTCATCAAACTGAATTAACTGAGATAAATGAAGTTTCACCAGGCCTCATTATCATGGAAACAGGCCTTGGAAAGGACATGCCAGAACTTGGTATACCCAAAATAACTCTTCCACTTGCCTCTTCTTAGCATGGGAGAGAGGGACACTCTGCCCTAGTGTTGGGGTTCTAGAGCGAGAGGAAAGGGAAGACACTCAGGAGCTATGTAAACACCTCAGAACAGCAATAAATCAAAGAATTACTGTTGCCTTTCAAGTTCCAGGCAATGCTTGTTGCCAATCTAATCTTGGAGCTTTGCAATTAAAAGTCTGTTGCTTCTTTCTTCCAACTTTTGCTGTGTCTTTTTGAGATAGCTGGGTTGATTCACAGACCCTGCCAAAAGATGGTGAAAGAGAACCAAGTGTGTTTGTGGTTCTCGGTCGTATACCAATAGGCTGACTTGTGGTGGAGAAAACGTAAGCATGAAGCTAATGGCCCAGAGGTCCACCAAAGTGGTTGCAAACCAACCTTTCCTAATCTGAGCTCCAGTTAATCACCATAAATTGTAGGGTGTACTGATGCCACGCAGAAAGCCGAATGAAGCAGGCTGATTTTCATTATTTGTGCTACTTCAGGGCTCCAGGGAAGGATGAGTAGACACCATGTCTCCATTGTCACCCTCCATTTCTCAGATGATGAGAGATAGCTGAGGTTTTATGGGTTTGTCACACTTGCCCTGGAGAATAAGAAGAAATCTTGGATTCTGTTTTACATTTTGGATTTCTAGTGACCTATTCCTCCAAAGGAAAAGGCAAGGAGATCTAGGCTTAACAAAGATAATCTTCTGTCTGTGGATAGTTGAGAAGAAACAGCCCATCTGCTTCCCTGAATGAATGCAACTGGAAAATTTGAGATCCACCAGAGATCTATGATCTTCCAAAGTGACCCAATCAAACAATCAACACTGTGGTTCAATATAATGCAGATTCTGCTATGAATTAGAACTATGAAGCTCACCAACTAATGAAATTGATGAAGAACGATGGACTTCATCAGTTGCATCTGCTTGAGCAGTAGGTTGGACTAGAAAACCTCCAAGGTTCCTTCCAACTCTGTTATCTTTAGCCCCAATGTTGAACTTTTCTAAAAGATAGACAGGGGATTGGTTTTAGCTTCTTTGGATTGATCAAAATAGAGGTGGGATAATCCATCAACCAACCAACTGTATTTTATGCTTCTGCCCATTTTGCCAAAGCTGTCACTCATAGAACTAAGCAAAGATCTTGGTTAATCCTCAAGCAAGTCCTTATCTGATCTTTGACTCTAATAGTAAACTTGATTTGATTCAATAACCTCTAGACACAGAGGTTCCATTGTGATCAATTACCACCTACTGCCTATCAACATCTTCTGAAACTTTATCATAGGCTTCTTAAACCATTGGACACAGCTTGCTAACCAGTGATGGGATTCAGCCAGTTCACACCACTTTGGGAGAACTGGTTGTTAACTGTCTGAGCAGTTTGGTGAACTGGTTGTTGGAAGAAATAATTGGAGCAGAGAACCAGTTGTTAAATTATTTGAATCCCACCAACGTTAACCTTTTAATTCATTCTTACACCTAGTCCCTTTATTTTCTCTCTGACCATAATCAGCCTGCTCAGGTTTTCTGTACTGTTGAGCTAACTATCACTATTCCTCACCAACACCATCCATCTAAGCAGATACATAAGCCAGTCCAGACAGGATTGTCCATATATGATGAAGCAATTGGTTGCCTGGACAATTGGAGAATGAGTTAAAACATTGGATCTGGGTCAACACTATTGATAGGAAAAAAGGGGGGGGGGGGGCTATTGAGAAAGAAACTTGCCATGATGATTAAATGTGATTAAATAAGATAAGGATGTGGGAAGCTCTGCTTATTTTCTAAGGGACAAGCCATTGGCCAAGATAAATACTTTGCTCGGTAATGGCGAAAGTCTTAACAACATTCCCCCAAATCCTGTCAGGTTTTATTCAGATTCCACCAAGAAAAAATATCCTAAATAATGCCTTGAAACAGAATCTCTGATCCCACAAAATTTAAAATTATTTTTTTTGTACTGATCTGTCATCATAATGACCAGCCGGATGTCCTGAAAGATGTTTGCCAACAGGAAGTGGTCACATAAGCGTGTCCTGCTATCAATTCCATTCAAGTGAGATTTGAAGATATGAGAACACCAAGTCTTCAAGACTGATAGCCTTCAACAGGTGTGTCCTTCATGTATTTAGCCATTTCCCTTGGAAAACCATCTGACCATGGACTTATGTGATCCTCAACTCCACTGATTAATGATTCGGTCTTATCAAACTGTTGAGAAATGTCTTCCTGATAGTTGTAGAGCCACATAGTCCATGAGGAGAAACCACAATAATGTAAGGACATATAAACAAGACATGAGCAGCAAAATCATGTGTGCCAGCATAAGATCCACAGAAACAGATTCCTCCAGAATGTTAGAAAGACCCAAAATAGGAAGAAAAGTGGGAGAATCAGGGCAATTTTTTCCAAAAGGAAAAATTCAGATCTTCACCTCTTTCCATTGGTGTAATTTTGATTTTTTTTTTCTATAAGAACACATTCTGGACTTTTGAGGTGTTCAAGTACTGAAATTAGTTGATGGTAAATATTTTGTCTAAAGAAATGGCTTTATTGCAAACATTCCCAATGTACACGCCAGAGTAACATAATAATATAATGGCTCAAAAATATTTAATTTCTTAATTCTCTGTCATTTGGGTTAGCATCAGGTTAACTGGGATAAGTTACATCAAAGAAGTTTTCTGAATTGGTTTGTCTATGCATGGATGGGGTAATACTTCGTTTTAATGCAGATCTACAGCCATCCAGAGGTTTTTGCCTCAAACATCTAGAAAAAGCATCAAGTTATTGATATTAGAAGAGTGTCACATTGGAGTGAATGATATAGGTCAACCTAACAAGGTATAACTAAATTTTCTCTATGGATCTAGGGACTCTTATTCAATACTGAGTGCATAGACCTGGCAGGTATTACTCTCTGAATGCCAACAGTCCTGAAGATATCTACTGAAGGATTACAACATGTATCTATGGCCTCTTTCTTTCAAGTGGATCTTTTCTTCAAATAATTCCTCCTCCTCTTCTTAACTTCCTATCCAGAAGCGTGTCTTTCTATCACTTAGCAATTCATTCATCTTCTTATAGTAGTTCCAAGGACTGTGGGGCGACCCAGATGATTTCATCTCCTCCGTGTTAAGGGAGAACTTCTGGATGGTGTTGATGGAGGAACAACAAAGCATACCTCGATGGATTGCAAATTCTAAACATTACCCATGACCCACAGTCAGTGGGAGCTGAAATATAATGTCTGGAGAGCAACATGTTGTCATCTATGTTGTACCTTTTCAGGCAGTGAGCAGGATAAAGCTATTTTTTCATTGTGGACCCCTTCAGGGATGGGAAGTGATTATTACAGGACTTCACACGAAAAGATACAGAGCTGTCTCCATTCCTATTCTCCAAAAATTGTCCACTGTAAACTCCAGCTCCATCCTAGTAGACTTCAAAACTAGTTTTACCTGGAAAAGCACACTTCCTCGACCACAAACATTTTGTACTAGATTAACAGGACTGTGGTTAGGCTCTTGATGACAAGATGATCGCCAATTAATGAATGCTTGAAACAAGAGATGTCAATCTTTATATGTGCTATGGATTATCCTGGGTGCTTGCTAGAAAATGTACAAAACATGCAACCTCTCATTCCTGGGGGTGTCTCATTTCCTGTAGGACAGGCTTGAAGAAGCAATATAAAAAGATTTCCAGACCCCAAAGCTCCAATCACTCAACTGCATCTCTGCTGCAGAAGAAGGTAAGTCAGTTGTTGTATCTATACAGGAATACTCAATCTATTGAAGGGATTTTGGTTAAAAGAAGACAATCAGTTAGACAATGAAAGTATAACTCAATGTGTAAACTCTGGCTAAGGGTTACTCAAGATGTCATTTGGATAATGGAGTTGGATGCAACTGAGAATTGCTTGAGGGCAGCCAAAATGAGGAGAGAGATGCAAACTAGAAGGAAATTCAGATGAGATGATAAATTCTGAGTCAATGCAACAGTCCAAAAATATGCTGAAGGTTATAACTCTACATTGAGGAATACTCTAAGCAATAGCCATTGTGTGCAATTTCACTGGCTTTAAAGCATTGTGGTCAGAAATCAGAGATTGTTGCTAAATAGTACAGCAGGTTGGTACGCTAAAGGCCTCCAGCTTGGTCCTTGGGATATCCAAGATAATAGATTGCAAGAAACTGATGGGAAGATTTTAGTATTGTTTCCACAAATATACTGTATGAAAGGTATAAAATATGGGATCAGTAGTACAAATCAACATTCTATTGACTCAGGGAAGCTCGGCGATTGTGGAAGGCTTTTCAGATCGACTCTTTTCTGCAGCTTCTGGAGTTGTTATGGAGATGATACAATCCTGCAACTTTCCTCCCATGTGTCACAATTGGTATAAGAACAGCTGAGCAGTGCAGTGGACTCTTCCAATATTGGAGGGATAGTCACAGAGAAGAGGGGGTCAGCCTATTCTCTGAGCAACCGAGGGCAGGACAAGACGTAATGGATGGTAGATTATTCAAGAGAGATCCAAACTAGAATTAAGGAGAAAATCCCTTGCAGTGAGAACAATTAATCAGCTTGACTCCAGAAGTTGTGAATGCTCCATCACTGGAGGTTTCCAAGAAGAGACTGGACAGCCATTTGTCCAGAATGGTAGAGGGGCTCCTACATGAGCAGGGGGTTGGACTGGAAGACCTTCAAGGTCCCTTCCAACTGTTATTCCACAATTCTATCAGGAGCCAAATGCTGTGCTCTAGTACCTCATAGACCTCTCTGCCTATCAGAATTCTGTGTGGGCTGCAAAGTTCACAATGTTGGGATTTGCCATTATTTTGGATACAAAGCAGAAAAGGCATATTAAAGGAACCTTGATACACTTGTTGTACTTGTTGATGCATCCTTTAAAAAGCCATTTTTCTTCCTAGGTGCACACAACAAGAGGGAATAAACACAAGTGCATGCTTTATCCACCTGTTTTTTTTCCCCTCCTAAGCAATAGAAGGACATAATATGTCATAGTTTGGGATCCCATCATTGTTGAATTGGAGTTTTCAACCATCACCAGTTTCTGAATAACATAATATTCCTTTTGTTTTTCCCAGTGCTAAAGCCATCACAACAAAGAAAGTGGGAAACATCATCCATCGGACCCAGAAAGATGGCTTCTTGGCAACAAAGTAAAAGCTGTTGTAGCAGTGGAGGAGGCTGCGTGTGTATCTGTTCAGGTCAAGGAGAGTCATTGTGCTGCTGTAAAGGAAGAGGACGGGGTGGTGTTCGCTGTGTGTCTCCCATCCAGCAAACTCAGACATCTGTCTGCTGCGGTGGTGGCCGCCGAGGAAGCTCTGGCCAAACCATCATCGTTCTCCCAGGCAGCGGTGGTGGAGATGGATGTTGTTGCAGAGGAAGAAGAGGCTCCAGTGGTGGAAGATCTGGCCAGATCATTATATCACCTGGAGGAGGAAGTGGAGGTGGACAGTCTTCTGAATGCTGCATTGGAGGAGGGATCTGTGGGGTGCCTGGAATTGGGATGAATCAGCAGAAATGTGGTGGAGGACTCATATGTTCTGGAGGGTGGAGGCGAGGGAGTGGAAGTGCAGGGGGGTCATGTGGTGTGAAGGTTATTTCTGGGGGATCCAGTGGTGGTAGAAGGGGTAGTGGTAGTCGTTCAAGATCAGGGAGCCCCA